GGAGAGAAGCCACTGCTGCCTGTGGCAGGGATTCCCACTATCGCCTCTGCCATTGAGAGCCTGCTCCAGTGCTCAACCACCCTCTGGGTAAAAAACCTTTTCCCGATATCCAACCTAAACCTCCCCTGATTTAGCCTCCTGCCATTTCCCCAAGTCTTGTTACTGGTCACAGGAGTGAAGAGATCAGTACCTGCCCCACCTCTTCCTCTTGTATGGAAGCCATAGATTGCAATGAGTTCACCCCTCAGCCTCCTCTTCTCTAAGCTGAATAAATCAAGTGACCTTAGCTGCTCCTCATAAGCCATCCCTTCCAGGCCCTTCATCATCCTCATGGATTTTTTTCATAAGGAATACCTAATACTAACTGGAAAAAACTAAGTTTTTGCAGATCAATTAATTAGTCCTTTGTAAATTACTGTGGAAAATCTGGTCTTCCCTATCAACACCAAGAACAAGGATATAAATTACCAAGTAGATAGAAGCAGAATAGAAAACAGAACATGGGAGAGATGCAATATTACAAATGTGAAGGTAAAGGGATAAAGTTAAGACTGAATAACATTGTGTCAATTTAAAAGTTGCTTCTGAGTAGACAATGGAATTAGAACTTGCACCATCAAAATGCTACAATACTGAAATAGAAGCTGTTGACAGTTCCGTACATTAAAACCTTTAAGCTGTGTTCAAGTCTGAACTCTAGTCAGAACACTAGTTCCACCTTAATTGCTCTAATTAAGGGATTAGTAAGCAGTCTTGCAGTCATGAATGAAGTTTCACAACAGCATTATTTTCTAACCTTTGCACTTCTCATTTTCAGTAATTACAATCCATAACATAAGGCTAAGACATCTATTAGCTATCCACACCTCAGTTCAGTGAATAAGTCCTCTAAATACAAAATTTTCTATCATAGTAAGCTTCTGAATCTTCAATAAAAAAGTATTTATATTTTTATTCAAATCTAGATCAGCAATAGTCCAGTTCATCTACTGTGATGCTACAACCCTCTTAGCTACTTTAATTCTATTATAGTTGGGTAAGTTTGCAGAGTCCCTTCAAGTTCATCAAGAACTATCACACTGAAATCATATTTTCCAGATTCCAGTCTAACAAGCCTGATCTTCTCCCTGCTGCTCACTATCTTGTTGCTTATTCACTACTGAGGTTTTAATTTTTTCAAGTCTACAATTTGCTTAGCACCTTACTCACAGTTACAATTTGAATCAGCATCATGTGGCAAAGGAAACCAACTACATCAGAATCACCAAAAAGAATTACAAGTGCTCAGTAACTATTATCTCATTCCCCTTTGTCTCCTCATAGATTTTTACTACCTTAGGAAGCTGCCATACAGCATATTCCACACTTGTTCTCATTCCATTTGATAGTCATGGATTGCAAAGTAGCTGGTGCCTTTAGCACCTTAGATCTATTGTTGCTAAAGCTTCTTGGAGATTCTTTGTTAACATTGTAACAACATTGCACAAAATGCCTTAGCAGTTTATCCTTATCTGAGAAATAAATCTGACTTTGCAACAAAACACAAATTCTGAAAAATTCTCCACGTTTGTTAGCATGGCAGTCATGCTAAGCTATTGATTCGGAAACAGTGACACTGACAAAAATGCATGTGGCATTGACATCAGCTCTGAACTTTACTACAACTGACTGCAGTGACACAAGACTAAGTCAGAATGAACAGTTCACTCAAGCCAGTCTCAGCCTCATTATTCATATTCTGTCACTCTACTATTTTAATAGTTCTGTTACCTAATAAACTTGTTGTATACACCTCTACCTTCTAGATCCTTCTCTTGAAATTCTCTCTTTATATCCATAGAAAAGCATCTCAAAAGCACAATCTTTACAAACCTCTGCCAGCAGCTGATCACCTTTAAAAACAGATTCAGGGTTACCAGGTTGCCATTGGCCCTCCCATTACTTTTTATTTCAAAAAGAACTAAAATGATGCTACTGAATTACACAGTTTAGTCAACAAAATTAATGTTATGATTTTCTCCTGTAGTGTTAGCCTTAGATAACTACTACAATAACCAGAATTTATTCTGGTTTTAGCAATGAATTAACTGGAATTAAGAAGTATTTTCTGAACATGCATGTTCAGACAGCAAAGAAAACATTTTTGGTAATTTCCACTTACCTTTATCTCAGGCTCTTTTTCACATTCTTCTATATACAAATCATACAGTTTTTGAAACACAGATTTTCTGAAATTAAAAAAGCTTACAATGTAACAAAAATTTAAAAATAAAATAAAATAAAATAATATATATATATATAAGCTAAATACATAAACCTTTCCTACCTTCCACCAGATAAGTATTTTCTTTTGGGAGGTCTCTGACGGGCGCTTTCAATGATATACTGGAAAAGTACACCAAATAATAACATATTTTACAAAGCAATTTAATTATAGCTACCTTGCAACGTCAGATCAATTACCAGACAGTGATCTATGGATACAGAGGGAAAATAACAATTTTCCTACATGATTGTTTCAAAAGTGTACTAAAGATCATCTGGTCTATGTTGCAGTAATCAAAAAGGATGAATCTCGACTTTGCTGTGAAACGGAGCATTTCATAGCTATGGCATGAGCTGCATGCAAAGTTCTGGTTTTACATTCATGTTTTGTAATTACAGCAGTAAATTACACTCATGAAATAGTTAACACTACTGTACTTAGTTGACTACTGTAGTAAGTAGTTAATGCTACTGAAGTTAACATGGTAAAATACTGAAGTATTCTATAGAGCTGTGTATTACAAATACAATTAATGTACATTAAATATTCAAATCATAAAGAATAGATATCATTCTACATTAAATGTAGCTTATATTCTCACAAGGTTTTTCCAGATGTCTATTGTTTGTCTCAAGATTTTTGATTAACAACTTACTTTAAAATTTCAATTAAGAAACTTTCTCCCACTGAAAAATCTATTTCCCATAATATGGTTCAAGGTGAACATTACGTCAGATGTCAGCATGAAAGAACATGGACATGAAGGCACTTGCCTCTGCATTCTAACGGGGCTACCCTTAAAAACACAAACAGGATTTTGCCATGTTTCTGCCAGTGGCCTCTGGATCACCACTGTACAGTTCTGCTTACTTCACAGCAGATTTACTAGTTTAAAAAGTAAAAACTGAAGTCCTGCACATTCTATTACCATTTCATCTGATCATGTTCTCAGTACAACGGGTAAGAGACAAACATGAAACAGCAATTTCTTACAAAATGAGTGGTGCACGTATGGGTGATTACTTATACACAGACATAAACATGCTCTTCCACTGCTTTTCAGAAGAAATATAAAAATAGAATAACTATTTTTTTTAACAGTGAAACCAATACATGAAGTGCAAACAAAGATAGCTACAACTTACCTCTGCACGATCCAATGCCAGTTCTAAAGCTTGTTGCTGCAACAATTACAAAGGGTTTTTTAGGAAGTACATAAACTGTTTAAATGTCCTCATACATAAAACCCACTCTCTTACTACTGCTATGATTTTATAGTCAAAAGATGGGTTCAAACATTCTTTGGCACATACTAAACTTAGCAGCTAACACCTCATGTAACTGCATCAACAGTAATTAACGTCACTACCAAGTGTCTACACTTGCAAGGTTTTGAGTATATGATGAAGTCTTACTTCAATGAAGGTCAACTAGAATTAAAAGTAGGGACAGAAATTACACCTAATAAAAATAATAACAAATATTGACCAAAACAATTGGAGATGACAAGCAGTAAATCTAGGCTATACTACTGAAAAAAACAGAAGTGCTTTGGAGAATTTTCTGTTCTTCATTAAAGTGTAGAAATACTCGTAATAGGTCCTCCTTTCCACATATGTACGTGTTGTTTCCTCAGTTTAAATGATCCCTCTCACCTGTTCATAATACCTTTACTCAAAGAACAGAAGGCATACGAACTACGTCCATCTGATATATAGTAGTACTAGTTATTTAATACATTAGAATAAAATTCAGAGGAAAGCATACTACAGTAACAACAAAGAAATATACAGAAAAAAACTTGGGCTTTTTACCATTCACCTACAGTGCCTCCAATACAAAGTTTCTTACCTGTTCTTGTGTCCTGGTTTGAGCCAGGATGAAGCCAATTTTCCTTTTACTGATTTTTTTTTTTCCCTTCAGTAAGCTTTCTTTTAACTAGTCACAGTGTGTTCTAACTAAGGCTGATAAGAACGGGATGTTTTTATAACTGCTGGGTCTTCGAGGTTACACCTTCACTCTGCCAGCTCAGACACTATGGGAAGATCTATGAACCCCCCATAGGAGGCTTAGTTAGACAGACAGCAAAGTTGGCCAGAGATATTCCATTCCATATATCTGTATAAGCTCAGAGGAAGGTCAGAGATCACAGAAGACAACTTTTTTCCTGCTTCTTCTTCCCTTCTCTTCCATCCATGGCCAGTGTCTGGGGAGGACTCCATCCATCCATCACCGTCAACCCCCAGGCTAAAGCTCTCCTGACCCTCATAACTTTCCACTTTCTCCAGCAGCAGCCCTGGGATTTTTCGGGACTGTTCACAACTCAGGAGATGCTGTGGGAGTTGCTGAGGGTGGGGGGAGGCGAGAGGCTTTTGCACATATCTGAACATACTTGTACATATCTTCTTATATCATTAGTGTTTAATCAAAGCTGTGTAGTTTAGTTTTCAATCCAGCCAAATCTCTCTCTTTTTCTCTCTCTCCATCCCTACCTGGGTGGGAGGGGGAGGGGATCGAGAGCATTGTTGTCAGACCTGAGTCAAATGGTGACATCTTGAAAAAAATGCACTTGACCTGTTATTACTCATTAGAACCTGCCATTGCGGAACATTAAAACTTTAAAATGTTTAGGTGTTTATATGGAAATGTCAAATACTCATACTTGCTATATAGGTGTAGTGGATAACTGACAATTCCTGACAATCAATTCACTGACTGCTTGACAACAAGTAAAAATCCACAGCAATATTGTCACCTGTGAACAGAAGAATACTATGTGGAAGTGGGATTCATACTTAACTGTCTAACACCAGTCATGACCGAAAAAATACCTCTAGCTTTATATGAGAATTCTTACGGTGCACTGGACAGTGAGTAAGTGTTTAGAAGTATTTACAAGCAACAAAGGAAAACACCCCTGAAAAAATAAATGTCAAAACTCCAGAGTGACAAGCAATAAAATATTTTTAAGAAAATGAGAAACAGCAACAGTGTTCTCCTCACTGGCCAGATGGCTAGCACATTAGAGTGAAAAGATCTGAAAATATATTAACTGAATCATAACTTACCATTGTAGTTGAAGCCAGGTGACCAAATGGCAAAAGAAGTACTTAAGAAGTTTGGTGCAGTATGCAAAGAATCATATTTTATGGTCACACCTGGGGTACTAAAAAAAGCAATCAAGAGGAAAAAATAACACTAAGAAACGAATATAAACATTTTAGTTAAATACAACCCTTTCAGTAGTTAATGGTACTTGAATTTCATTTCCATAGTATACCGCAAAAGCAGAAACAAAAAAGTTTCATTTAGTGTAAGTGCAGAGGTTGCTATTCTAATCACTACTACTTGGCTCAATTATTTCACATTAGTCATATTGAATAGTAAAGTAACAATAAGCACGTATTTGAAATTATATAGCCAACTACTCTCTATTGCAGCAGTCTGCCTAGACACCACAAACACATCCACAAATGCACAGAAGACTAGACATACAGCCAGAACATTTAGTATACTCTATAGTTTGTTTTGCTTTTATGAAGTGACAATTCCACTAGCAGTGCCTTCCAGCACTATTTTGAGATGTTAGTTTAATACTGACTCACAGTAGGTTGTCACCTACATAATGAATATAAATTTAAAATCATCATCAAGGTTGGAGAAGAGCTTCAAGATCATCAAATCCAACCATCCACCCTAAGACAAATAAACTTATCTCCTGAAACACCACGTCCATCTGTTTTATTGAACACCTCGAGGGACAGTGCCTCCATCACCTCTCTGGGCAGCTTGTTCCAGTGTCTCGCAAATTTGCAATGCACTAGCATGTTCCTTACATGTCCTTGCCCTCAGATACTACGTCCCTACAACAATTAATTTTTAAACTCAGCTACATAATTGCATGAAAAAAAACCAACAAACCTAGCTCAAAATCCCCACGCTTTAAATTATATTCTTAGTTTCGTTTCTAGTGAGGTGATATGAAAATTCAAGTAACTTTTGCTTTCCCATCTGAACACTACAGTGCCTTACTATACTTAAAACGTTCACTTATAAGAAACTCCACCCCACGTAATTGTAATTTGTGGAAGTACTTATGTTGCAACTACATTCCTTATCAGCCATGGCTTTGGCAAACGCCCTCCTAGATCTCAGGTGACAGATGCCTGCTATTTCACACCGCCCTAAACCTTACCCAGCTGTTTCAGCATAGAAACAACTTAAGTAGAGAAAAAAACAACCCAGAGATAATGAGTCAGAGCTCCCCACAAGCTGCTGGCTTCTGACAGGCGGCGAGGTGATGGGCCAAAAGGAGCCTGCACATAATCGCCCAGGGGAGCGTCCACCCGTGCCACCCGACAGGCCAGCTGCCCTCTGAACAGCCTCTCCGCCCTCGTCCGACTCAGGCTGAGCCGAGTCTTATAAGTGAGCGATTGAGAGAGCACCCACGGCGAGTGAGGCGCAGGTGCAAGCCCGGCAAGGGACGCGGAGCCGGATCCGTCCAGGCCCTGCTGC